TTTTCTCCTTGTTACCCAAAAAAATTGATTTGAACTGTTTTTTTAAACCCTTGAATCGATCTGCTCAGGGGTCTTTTAAAATGGATTTAAGTGAGATTCGGATGGATTTCAGTGCGATTTGGATAGATTTAAGTGAGTGGAAATCTATTCAACAAAAACTAGAGGTATGAGAGTGACTTTTGGACTACATATACTCTCACGGTTTTCAAGCCAGGGAGAATTGGCCGTAAAACTCGAGCCGAGTTCCCGTCGCCAACTAGAATTGGCAAGTTGAAAAGAGTAAAACAAGAATGACCAAATTCACAGTGGAAAGGTTTAACTACAGCAATTCTGAGTACAGTTTCTTGTTGTTGCTCGAAATATAAAAAACTATGAAAACTATGTTTGGTTTAAGCATCTTGTGGAGTTCGCTGGTCTAAGTGCAACCGACCGCAAGTTGCCTTTCATCAAATGAAAGAAGATTTCAACGCAGTTGGGAATGAGATTAAATCCAAGCGAGCTTTGTTCGCAAGCAGAAAACAGAAGGAAATAAAAGCATGTGAAGTTATCTGATTATCTTCAACTAAGCCAATCAATGAAAGTATCCAAATAAAGTCAAGTGCTTTGCTTTATTTGGATAAGATTTACCGTGTCCTTGAATTTAAGCATTGGTATCATTTTTTTGCAGCAATGGGTTGCTTTCAATCAAACTAATTGATCAAAACAAATTTGCGCGTTTAATCTAGTTCTATTGCTTATTTTCTCCAATTTAGATGGTTACTAAAAAAAGGTTGAAAAACCTATACAGGCAGATATTCAAATGTAGCATTCGAATTTTATTCAAATTGTTAGTGTCGTCTTTCTTCCGTATACACATTCAACAGTTGGTGCTATAACGCATGTAAATTTAACTTTATTTTGCGCAAAATTAAATGCCTCAGGGTTCTCCAAACAAATTCAGGAAGTTCATTTGATACTTTTTATTTTGATTTATATTTATATTTTCTTGATTTCTTCCACATCTGGCATGTGTTTTTATTTAAAATATTGAAGCTTGTTTTTTCTCCTTGTTACCCAAACAAATTGATTTGAACTGTTTTTTTAAACCCTTGAATCGATATGCTCAGGGGTCTTTTAAAATGGATTTAAGTGAGATTCAGATGGATTTAAGTGCGATTTGGATGGATTTAAGTGAGTGGAAATCTATTCAACAAAAACTAGAGGTATGAGAGTGACTTTTGGACTACATATACTCTCACGGTTTTCAAGCCAGGGAGAATTGGCCGTAAAACTCGAGCCGAGTTCCCGTCGCCAATTAGAAATGGCAAGTTGAAAAGAGTAAAACAAGAATGACCAAATTCACAGTGGAAAGGTTTAACTACTGCAATTCTGAGTACAGTTTCTTGTTGTTGCTCAAAATATAAAAAAATATGAAAACTATGTTTGGTTTAAGCTGCTTGTGGAGTTCGCTGGTCTAAGTGCAACCGACCGCAAGTTGCCTTTCATCAAATGAAAGAAGATTTCAACGCAGTTGGGAATGAGAACAAATCCAAGCGAGCTTTGTTCGCAAGCAGAAAACAGAAGGAAATAAAAGCATGTGAAGAGATCTGATTCTCTTCAACTAAGCCAATCGAAGAAAGTATCCAAATAAAGTCAAGTGCTTTGCTTTATTTGGATAAGATTTAACGTGTTCTTGAATTTAAGCATTGGTATCATTTTTTGCAGCAATGGGTTGCTTTCACTCAAACTAATTGATCAAAACAAATTTTCTCGTTTAATCTAGTTCTATTGCTTAATTTCTCCAGTTTAGGAAATGGTTACTGTAAAAAAAGTTGAAAAACCCATACAGGCAGATATTCAAATGTAGCATTCGAGATTTATTCAAATGGTTACTGTCGTCTTTCTTCCGTATACACAGTCAACAGTTGGTGCTATAACGCATGTACATTTAACTTTATTTTGCGCAAAATTAAATGCCTCAAGGTTCCAAAAAAAAAATCAGGAAGTTGATTTGATACTTTTTATTTTGATTTATATTTATTCCAAATCATTCCATTTTCCCTGAATTATTTTGCTATTTTATTATGTTCTTAGAACAGCACTTTGATTTACATGTAATATGTAATTAAGATTGAAATTGTACTTAATCTTTGTCGGCAAACGTGATTAATTTGATTGATTTTGTCATTTCGTTAACCCACACATTCTAATGCAATTATTTGCTTTCATGAACGTAAGGTCGATTCATTTGAAAAAACTGCAGATCTTGACAAATTAAAACTGGTTGATCAGTATTTTTTTTTTCAAAAATAAGCCTTATGTAGGCAGTTTAGGTGAACGTAGTGAAGATTCTTAAATGCTCGTAATCGTATTTTATTACTTTCCATTTCATGACAAAACCACGATCAAGTTTGATCTTTTGCGGTTTGGAATTTCGATTTTTTGAAGCGTTTTTATGTATAGACGAAAACATTCAAAGTGAACAGTTGGTTTTCTTTGCTGTTTCTCAGCTTAAAAAATTGTTCGTCGAAGTTAAAAGAGCAAAAGAACAAACTCAGATTTTTTTGTTTCAATTTGAATAAAACAAACTCTTAGCTGAGCTGAATTGTTTCGAAACACTTGATGTTGATTACATAAAACAATAATAATGAATTAAGAACGATCTTCTAGAGCTCCGACTGTCAAAAAGCGCTTTACTACAGATTATCTTGATTACTTCCCTGATTACTTTTTGAAGACAAAAAATTTATAAATCTATATTTGCCTACTTATATTTGACACGAGACTATGGATGCCCGATGGAAAGAGCCAATGGAAGCGATAGGAGATGGCCCATTTTTGGAGTCGTGAGTAAAATCATAACCAAGGCGGTAATACCATTTTGTTGATGAGCTAGATATTCGGGTGCGACAGCCAGAGCGCTATACGTCAAAGGATTCAATAATTGTCGACAATCCACCAATTGATTAGCGTGACAAGAGGAAATTTCTAGGTAAAGCGATACATTTTTTGGACAAATATCTTAGAGTCAAAATTTCGGGTAACAGTTTGAAAGCTTACTATATACTACCGAAAAAATATTTGGATGAAAACATTATGCCTTCAGTCATAATCAAGTTCAATTATTTCAATGATAAGTTTGAAGCTTACAAAAACCGGCGAAAACTTAAGAATGAGGATCACAAGAATCCAATCAACAATAAAACAACTTGAGTGAAAAAACGGTTGCCTCCATTAGATGCTATGTAAAGCGCTTGGCGGAGAGCAGAACTTTTGTGGCAACTAATCATAATTGTGCTGTGTCAGTTATTTGTGAAACAAGTTCCGGGAGCCAGAATATACTGATTTTGGCAATGTCTTTCTGTGGTCACTACTACATGGGTGCTCAGAATGGAGACGGATCGCAACAAGGAGGACTCTGGTTGCTCATTCGCTGCGCTCTTGAGGCTTTCTTTTTAACTGCGGGTTTGGCAAACTGTCTATTGGCTCGGGCTCAGTTTGTCTAGTGTTGTGATTTTTTAAAATTATTTCAAATTTTTATGTTTAGGCTACTGGCGCAGTTGGATTCGTCACGGGTGCTTGGCTGGTTCTCCGCTTGCTCTGTCCAGGGCAAAATATGAGTATCAGTCAAACAAATGAACGTCATATTTGACAGAAAAAGGAAGAATAACAAAATGAACTATCTAACAATTTTTTGAGGTCAAAATTTGATTTATATCGACAATTTGTTGACTTGATGCATAGGTTTTATATTCTAATATTTGATATACAATAATAATTGTCAATGGTTTCATCGCATAATTTTGAGCTCAAAATTTGATTTACATCGACCATTTTGTTGATTTGTTACATAAGTTTTAACCCAATATCTGATATACAAGGATAATTTTCCATGATTTCATTGCATATTTTCGAGCTCAAAATATGATTTATTTGGATCATTTTCTTGAGTTCTTCAACATCTGGCATGTGTTTTTATTTAAAATATTGAAAGATAAACATTTCAATAAGTCTTTTAAAACGCTTGTTTTTTCTCCTTATTACCCAAAAAAAATTGATTTTAACTGTTTTTTAAACCCTTGAATCGATCTGCTCAGGGGTCTTTTAAAATGGATTTAAGTGAGGTTCAGATAGATTTAAACGCGATTCGGATAGATTTAAGTGAGTGGAAATGTATCCAACAAAAACTAGAGATATGAGAAGGATTTTTGGACTACATATACTCTCACGGTTTTCAAGCACCGCGAAGATACTAAAATGGATTTCCGATCGTACATTAAACTTTTTCCGATCGTATCTTAAACCAGGGGCGGATCTAAGATTTTCTTGGGAGGCCCATACCTTACAAAAACTTGGAAACCAGATCTGAGCATCTTAAAATCTTGCCTATTTCAGATCTTGTCCAGACATGGTGCATGTTTCGTTTGGAAATGGTCATGTCTGAATTAGGACTGAAGCTGGTATGGATTTTGTCACAAAGCAGACCTGCTCAAGGCTTGATTCAGACCTGGAACATATATGGAACATATTTTTTTGCAGCTTAGCATTTTTTATTTAAAAAAAGAATGTGCCTTTACGCTCAATTGTTTAATTTGTTGGATTAACGCAGCTGATAGAAATCTGTAACTGCTGAATAAATCATAGAATCTCAAACGAAAGACATCAATTCCTTATGCTTTGCCAAAATCAAAGAACAATTTGATCACTTATGAACAAGCTGCAAAAAGTGTCAAGGTTATACAGGTAATAAGTGTGTTTTTTTTTTCAGAAAAATAACCTGAATAAATAAGAATTAAAAGTTAATTTAAATTTTCCCTGATCTGTTCTATCTTTTTCGAAGACGAATTAAATTTGTAAGGCAAAGCGCAAAAGTGCGAAGGATTTCAGTTCAAACTACTACTCCCCGAAAACCTTCTTTTTTTTCTTGCAGTCGGCTGATCAGAATGGAGCATGACAAGTATTATCGAAAGTTGTCCTTCAGCTTGAGGAAACTGTTGGTTGTTTACAGTCAACGACCCAAAAATTAGCTACTGATTCAACCGTTATGTACAAGAGCCTAGACACTTTGGTTTCGCGAAACCTAGAAGAAATGACATTTGTGATAGAATCCATATCTGCCTCAGTCCTGATTCAGACATGTCCATGTCCAAACGAAGCATGCACCATGCCTGCACAAGATGGAAATATCTTCGCGGTGCTCGAAAACCGTGAGAGTATCTGTAGTCCAAAAATCCTTCTCATACCTCGAGTTCAGTGAAAAGTAATTTATATCCGCGCTGCTGTGCAAGCTATACCCATTTTATTGTATTGCTACTTTAATCGGTTTCAGCTTCCATAACTTTTCGCAGAATTTAAACTACAATACATTGAAAAAGATTATAAAATAGAAAGTAAAACCAAAAATTCGAAGGCATAAAAGCACAACTTTTTGGATCAAACAGCACATTTGGGTTAAATAATCCGTCACAATTCCGTTTTTGTCTTATCCTTTTTTCCATAATCAGGGTGCGCTCTTCCAATTGTCTTCTGATTTTCAATTTCAACTGAAAGACACTCGGGTTGGTCAATTATGAACGACTTGGCTTTGAATGCTTCAGCGCCGTCTTCAAACATGAATATGAATCTGTTGTCGCCTACACTGAATCTCTGCACGCCAATTCCGCCGTTTTTGATTCCAGTGTGCCACACGTCAGAAATTGCATCGGCTTCTTTCTCACTCAGCTTTTTGTCTACCTGTGTATTGTTATGACTGATTAGCAACTATATGGTCTCTATTTTGCTACAATTTTCTGCACCGCATGCTAATTTTTTTAAAACAAAAGTCCAAAACGTCTCATACTTCTAAATTTTTATAAAATAGTTTTTTATGATCCGCCAAAAATGAAAGGGCAAAGTTCAGCGACCGCAACAGCTAACACTTTAGCGGAAAAAACTGCCGCAACTGGGAGATCAATAAACAATTCAAGGGTCAAAACTTTTAATCAAAATAAAGCCTAATTTTTCTGACCTGGGCGAACATCATAAGGGGCTGTCCTGCTTTGGTGGCAGCCAGAATGTCCTCTGGCTTCATGGATGAGATTTTACTTAGGTCCAACTGCGGCTTTTTGGCTCGTTTCTCCTCCATTAACCGGATCCTCTCTGTTTCTTCATCCTAGTCCATAGCAATATGCAATTTTTAAGTATGAACCTGTTGTCGCCTATTTTTATATAATGACCAGAAGTTGAAGTTAATAAAAAATCACCGGAAAAAGGTGTGTGTGAGTGTGAGAGAGAGAGGGGAGGGGGGTTCTTAATCATTTCTAAAGAGGATGACAAATGGTGACTTACCTCTTCACCGTCTTGTACTGCCCACTGTTTTTCAAGTTTACGCAGCTCCTCGTCCGTCCACTCTTTACACTCAGCCACCCTGACCCCCAAAACAAACAGAAGGAAAACAGATGCGAAGCATGTCATCGTCGTCATCATCAACAAATATGAACCAGCTGTTAATTTCATCACTGCCATAATAACCAACCAGCTGTTAAGTTAATGTCTCACACATCAACTACAAAACTCTTCAAGCATAAATAATTATCTGAAAAACATTTTATTTGATTCTCTCAAAAAATCAATCATTATTTCCAGGAGTTCTGTGAAAACCAACCCATTCATAAAAGATTACAGAAAAATTTGCGAATTATATAAAACTATTTCTATTCGTTGAAGCAATTTCATTTGATCACTGCTTAAACTACACTTTCACTGCAAAATATAAATTACACTATGCTCTGAAAAAAAAATCGTCTGAAAAAAGTTTTACAATTCTACTTTCCAAGCCTTGCCCACTTTACTTTCAATTTTCTTGTCCATCCTCGCACAAATAAACCTGGCAGCACCCACAACTCCATCAATAGACACGCCAGTTGACAAACCCATCCCATGCAACATGTAAAGCAGATCTTCAGTGGCTACATTTCCAGCAGCTCCAGGAGCATAAGGACAGCCCCCTAGCCCACCGGCCGAAGAGTCGAAAACGCGGACACCTTGCTCTAAGGACACCAGAATATTTGGCAAAGCTTGTGCATACGTATCATGACAATGAACCGCTATCTTTTCCATCGGGACAATATTAACTAAATCTCGGATCAAATTAGAAAACTTTCTAGGCGTTCCTGTTCCAATCGTGTCGCCGAGTGAAATCTCTGAACAACCAATTTCGAGAAGTTTTTCAGCTAAATTGACAACAACAGACTGTTGTATGTTGCCTTCATAAGGACATCCCATAACGTTTGATATATAGCCTCTGATATACGCATTCGGGTTAATTCTGCGCATTTCATCAAGTAAAGATTCAGTAATTTTCAATGAGTCAGAAATAGAACAGTTCCAATTCTTTTTGCAAAAAGTTTCACTAGCTGCAGTTCCAATACAGTAATGTTCGATTTTTCCTTCTGTGGCCATTTGCAGCCCTTTTTTATTCGGTACTATTGCACAATACGTTACGTCATTCTTCCGCTCAATTGATGACGCAACTTGGATCGAATCTGCCATTTGTGGCACCCATTTTGGAGACACGAAACTAGTCACTTCTATAGTGGAAAGCCCAGCATTCGCCAACTTATGGATGAATTCTTTTTTGTGAGCTATGCTAATAATTGATTTTTCATTTTGCAAGCCATCGCGAGGACCAACTTCGACTATTCGCACGGAATCACTCGTCGATCGGCACCTTCGTGCCAGATATCTTAGCAATCTTGTCTTCATATTATTTCAGTCAAAAACACATCGGTAAAACATTCTAGAAACAGACGAATGATATCATGTTGTCTAAAAAAGCTATCAATATGGCAAAGAAACTGATGCTTCGCCTCTTACATTCAGTCAACTTGGATATAAATTATCCCGATGAATTTATAAAAATATGCTGATTTAATCTAATTGCAATCGAAATTCACGGCATAGGAACTAACACGATGAATTAAATTCCATATGTTTTCTGGGGAACGGTCCATGATCCATAACTATTCATACAGAGTTGGAAAAGAGTCAATCAATGAACACTAGGTAGACAGAAAAAATACTGAATTGTTTTCTCAACTTTCGCATTTCAAAGAAAACATAGATGGCCTTCAAGTTGTTTGAATATCTATAACAACTTATGATTGACACTTTTTCGATAAAATTAACCTCTGATTTGAGAAAACTGGATCAATTGGTAATTTTTTTATTTCGCTTGAAATTCTGAAAAATAAAATTAACATTCGGAACTAGAATTCGATCAGGTTTTTCGTGGCCTTCACAGTTTTGTTGTTTGATAGTGAAGTTTGTCACCCTTTTAACAAAGGAAATGTACTGGTCTTCAAAAAAATCGCGAAACCGCGAAAAAGCAAATTATAGCCTGAACAAATTTTAAGATTTTACCTTAAAAAAAAATTGATCGCGCCCTTCATAAGAGACTGAACTTCGTTCATCGACTCTTCATCTATGCAACAACTTAAATCCAATTATTATCGATACATTTATTGAAAACCTTTAATTGAATGCCTAGCAACACAAGAGTATATCCTATCTGTGCATGTAAACACAGAATAATTCGACCACTGGCATCATAGGGAAACAAACAATTAAATCGAAAAAAATCAATTGTTGGAATTTTTCATATAAATATTTTTCCCCAAATAGAAAAAGCGTGCAGAATACAATCGGACCATCGCGAGAATACAACCAGACCATTTTTTCGTCACCGAGAGATCTTTTTTAAAAAATATATTTTAGAATCCGAATCACGACTGAAAAGACTTGAGAATGACTCCACCCCCAACGAACTTTAGAGATCAGCTGAAAAACAAGTCACCGTAAGGCTAACTTTTCCCACTCTGATTGGAAATTGAAAAAAGCATACTTTTCTTAAGGGGCAGAAGAGCAAACTTCTGTTCGAGTCACTAATAAAAATTTCTTTTAATAGAACACAGGTTCACACAGTCCATGGCATTATTAACATTTTTTTCACACATTGTTATCAATTTTGAGGCTGCAATATGTATTATATTATAAAAATTGCTTTGATCAACTTATTAAATAGCAATTTCTGCTATTTAATAAGTCTTTTCAGATTGGTTTAAAGTGTCGGTAATAAAAGCCTCTACGAGGATTTCAGGAAATCCGATAACTCAGCAAGACATTTGTCGACAACACTGCAACAATTTAGACCCAGTTTAGGGTTAAAAACAAGTCAGTACAACAATCATCAAGAAAAATTGGACCCAGTTTAGGGTTGAAAAACAAGCCGATACAGCAATCAGCAAGCCCAGATTTAGGACTAATATTGTTATCCGTACGGATATTATAGCTAAACTATTATAGCAAAACATCCTTTTTTAATGATATAGATGTAGGTGCTACAACTACCAGTTGGCAATGATTACATACTATTAACCTAATCGATTACTTAACATATAGAAGTCTGATGATTAAATAAGTACCTATTTATGCGTAATGACATATGTACTAGTTCTTATGAAACACTGTCTCTCAATTGATTCGAGGTCAGTGTCAGCCAGACTTAAACATAGATAGTTGAATTCAAGTTGCTCTCTTTTTTGTTTAATTCTCAGTTAGCATACAGCGTAGACTTTGATCAACATAGATTATACCTCACCTAACGGATGAGGGTATAACATGGCACAGCCAGCAATTACAAAGAAACCTTCTAGCTGAAACAAAATCACCCGAACAAGCGTTGTATTACGCGGTAAGACGGGAGAAGGGTCTCGAGAACCAAGTTCACATCAGAAAGCAGGGAATTTCCAACAGTCACACCGGATCTACAAAAATAAAATCAGAACCGGTAAACTTCGTCCAAAGGAGGGGTGGTTACAAGTCTCAACCTCGGGGTGGACGTAGTCGAGGAGGCATGACGTCGAGAAACAGAAATGATAGATCCGCACAGAATAAAGACTGTTTCAAATGTGAAAACGCATTTTCAGCAAACCATTTGGCACAGTGTCCGGCGCGAGACAAAATTTAAAATAAATGCACAAAAAGAGGTCATTTTGCTAAACTATGCAAATCCAGCGAAGTAAATGCCATACAGAAGAACGTTCCACAACAACAGGATCTTCAGGAAACAGACATGACCGCCTATGTCAATTATCTGCAAGCAGGTGATATTATCCCGGGATGGGAACTAATCCATCCGGATGATACATCCACCAACTGGATAAAATTCGAACCTCGACGAGCAGAAGTAATCACAAACACCGATCTACAAGGACATCTCATTCGGGTCCGTTCGGAGCCGAATAATATTGTTTTTATCGCCGACACAGGTTCCCCAACGTCTTTCGTGAACGAAGAAACAGCCAACCTCTTGGCATCCACAGTCAAATCGGCAGTTAAAACCAAATTGGGAGAAGACGACGAGGCCAACCGAATGGTCTGCTACAATGGATACAAAATCCCGTCCCTTGGCCGGTTAATCGCTCCTATAGAATCCGGAGGATGGACGATTCAAACAGCTTCGTTCATAGTGGTGGATGACAGACGAGCGAACATCATGGGGCGCAATCTTCTTCCCCAGATTGGAATAGAACTGCACCAAGAGAGAAAACTAATTGGTAAGTCAGAACTTCATGTCAACAATATTGACAGTTCAGACACACAAATAGCGACGTGGGTCAGAACTACGTACCCCGGACTCTGTACCCGAATAGGGCGCTCAAAAAACCACATGGTTCATACGCAATTCTTAAAAGAATTCAAGGCGTTGCAGCAACGAGGGAGAAGTGATCCCATTCACATTCAAGAGAGAGCGGAAAATGAAATTCTATCACTAATTGACCAAGGTCATATAATTCGTCTGGAGAAATGCAGTGACAAACAATTCATCAGCCCTATAGTGATAACGGTAAAGAAAGATCAATCAATAAATTTAGCAATGGATGGATTCGAAACAAATAAACAAATCTACCCATAAAAACAAATATCATATGCCAAACATTGAGGTTTTGTTAGACAATATAGCACAGTCAGCCCAGGAAGGGACAAATAAGCCGGGGACCACGTATTTTTCTACATTAGACTTACGTTATGCGTATGGCCAACTGCCACTCGATGAAACAACACGTACGCAGTGTAATTTCAGCATTATTGGTGGTAGGGCTAAAGGAACCTACCAGTTCCAAACAGGCTTTTACGGACTCACTGATATGCCCGCAGAGTTCCGGAAAGCCATTGATCTGACCTTAAATAACGAGAAAGACACGTTTGCTTTCTTGGATGATGTTCGTAAGCAACAGAGAAACACGTATTATTTGCGATGCCAGCCGCGGCAAATTTAAGAAAACTGGATAATTGGTAATTTTTTTATTTCGCTGGAAATTATGAAAAATAAAATTAACATTCGGAACTAGAATTCGATCAGGTTTTTCGTGACCTTCACAGTACAGTCTTGCTGTTTGAAAGTAAAGTTTGCCTTCCTTTTAATAATAAAAATGTACTGAACTTCAAAAAAAAATCGCGAAACCGCGAAAAAACAAATTTTAGCCTGTACAAATTTTAAGATTTTTACCTTAAAAAAACAAAAAAATTGATCGCGCCCTTCATAAGAGTCTGAACTTCGTTCATCGACTCTTCATCTATACAACAACTTAAATCCAATTATTCATTTCAATACATTTATTGAAAACCTTTATTTAAATGCCTAGCAACACAAGAGTATATCCTATCTGTAACACAGAATTGGACCACTGGCATCCTAGGGAAACAAACAATAAAATCGAAAAAAATCAATTGTTGGAATTTTTCATGTAAATATTTTTTCTCAAATAGAAAAAGCGTGCAGAACACAATCGGAACATCGTGAGAATACAACCAGACCATTTTTTCGCCACCGAGAGCTCTTTAAAAAAATCTTTTTAGAATCCGAATCACGACTGAAAAGACTTGAGAATGACTCAACCCCCAACGAACTTTAGAGATCAACTGAAAAACAAGTCACCGTAAGGCTAACTTTTCCACTCTGATTGGAAATTGAAAAAAGCTTACTTTTCTTAAGGGGCAGAAGAGCAAACTTCTGTTCGAGTCACTAATAAAAATTTCTTTTAATAGAACACAGGTTCACACAGTCCATGGCATTATTAACATTTTTTTCACACATTGTTATCAATTTTGAGGCTGCAATATGTATTATATTATAAAAATTGCTTTGATCAACTTATTAAAGGGAGGATAAAAGAAGTATCCACTTAATCAAAAAGAGGGAAATGTTATCCGTACGGATATTATAGCAAAACTATTATAGCAAAACATCCTTTATAAATGATACAGATGTAGGTGCTACAACTACCAGTTGGTAATGATTACATACTATTAACCTAATCGATTACTTAACATATAGAAGTCTGATGATTAAATAAGTACCTATTTATACGTAAGGACATATGTACTAGTTCTTATGAAACACTGTCTCTCAATTGATTCGATGTCAGTGTCAGCCAGACTTAAACATAGATAGTTGAATTCAAGTTGCTCTCTTATTTGTTTAATTCTCAGTTAGCATACAGCGTACTTTGATCAACATAGATTATACCTCACCTAACGGATGAGGGTATAACATGGCGCAGCCAGCAATTACAAAGGACCCATTGAGAATAACACCGTTCTGGCAGAAAGCCTCAGCGGAACCACCAAAAGAGTGGGACAAGTGGAACCAACAACTATTCCTCGGCATTATCGCAAAAGATGGTGTAAACTTGTCAAAGCTCTTACGAAACCCCCAAGCTTAACGAAAACCTCAAGAACCGGGGTATGAACTCTCTATCGAGCGGGAAACCGACAAACAAACAGGAGATCGCAACCTACG